AAGTATAAACTATCATATATAAACAATTCCTTGGGCGCCCGCCCGCTATTACTGGACCTCGTACTGCAAACAATGCTAGCATACTGTGCCTAGGGCTAACCCCCAGGTCTTCTACTCATAACTACATGGGCCGGCATTGTGGCCTTAGACCCATTCACACAAAGGGAAACTCACCTGAACTGGCTGAACTTGCTGATGATCTCACTAGCTGCTTCCCGACAACTCACGGAACTCCTGCTCCCCTTGCTCCCCGAACTACCAATATCAATGCAACACTGAGTCTAACTGACCCCCGAAAGACAACCAAGTCCACCCTGGTCCAAAGTCAAAGTCCTGGTCAAAGTCAACCTTCCAGGTCAACCCTACTCGCCGAGTCACCCTACTGACTCGCCGAGTTCATAATATTCAGATTCCTTCCATTCCTGACTCGACTCGCCGAGTCAGTCCATGACTCGCCGAGTCTACCGATTTCTGAGTCCAGACCTGTCCAACTCACTGAGTCTCCACCCGACTCATTGATTCGAGTCACAACTCGAAGGGTTTGGGGGGTTTCGCGACCTGACTCGCCGAGTCTAAGGCAATCTTCATACGACTCGACGAGTTGTTCATCCCACTCGTCGAGTTTCTCCACAACTTCATGCTACTCGCCGAGTCCACTCAAAGGACTCGCCGAGTCCCTTCAGTTCTCCTTACATGCAGAGGATTTTTGAGTCATGCATGGACTCCAAACTATAGATCCACCCTTCCCAAGCCTATTCCACACGTAAAGTTGCAAACTTTACGTGTAGAGAAGGAGATCTAGGCAAAATACGCCATTAACTAGGGTGTAAGGCCAAGGGGCTTCAAAATCGACTCAATGGCTGATACTTTATGCTTCTCCAGGCCCTAAAACACTTGGATCTGAAGTAGCAACTCCAGATCCAGCTTCTAACCCAAAATAATAACATTATGGCAAAAGAGCCCCAACAACCATACATAGATCTAGGTGCAAAATGGGTCCAGGAACTAGTTTATTACCTCCAAGTGCTCAGAATGAATTCACAATCCCAGATCTATAGCTCCTTCTTGCTCCTCCAAGTTCCTTCTTCCTTTTCCAAGCTTGAATGCACCTTCCAAGGCTCACCTAGGAGATATGACGGCTAGGGTTCGATATCCAGTGCTAAAGAGGCAGTAAGGAACCTTAGGAAGAAGATTAAGACATTTATATAGGCTCCAAGTCCCGAATTTAGGGTTTTCCACGCACAGACCAGACTCGCCGAGTGGCGAGTCGGTCGCTTACACCTCGACCCGGATCCCGCTCGGACTCGCCGAGTCCCTCCTTGGACTCGCCGAGTCGGCCCTTAAATTAGGGCTTTTCTTTCCCTTCTTGGCCTTTGAAACTTTGGGTGTTACAAATTCATCAAAAAGGCCCATTATCATCATCCATAGAGTGCTTTGAAACCCTACATCCCACATGTCCACATTGATGCAACCACAAAAGTGTTAAATACACACGAACTGTTGTGTTCTAGCCACTATTGTTGAAGTGATTTTTGTTGACAAAAAAAGAAACCTACGATGGTAACATTTTCTTATCCTATGTTTGAACGCATTATATGGATATAGTGATATAACGGTTGATTTAATATAAAAGGAGGTTCCAACTAATTATAAGACATCCCAAAACATATAAATTAGAGTGAAACTTTAGAAAAATAGATTGATATTATGTAATTAAGTTGAATGTAAGAGTTAGAGTGAAACTTTAGAAAAATAGATTGATATTATGTAATTAAGTTGAATGTAAGAGTTGCTCTTGTTATTGTAATTATATCCCAATATCGCAAACAAGCAAACAAGCATTCCAGATCCCAACAATTTTTAAATTGCAACAAGAACCATGCCGTTAGACTTAAACTAGACTTGCACTAAGTGGTCTTATAGTCGGTCATGGAATGATCTAGTTTTTTTGGTACTAGTCTCACATTGATCCAGTCGGCGGTCTCGACCAATCTTTTTTCAGTATGGAGTGTTTTGGGTTTTTTGTTCTGTTTTTTTTTGGTTTAGTTTTGAGTTTCTTTTGTCTTAATATTTAGACTGGAGGGAGTGGTGCCACCAAAACCGCACTCCCTCCCCCGCTACGTAAGCATCATGTCACTTTTTACCATTCAAGTGTGGTTTCTTGCCACACCAAGGGTGTGGTGCCACACTAGGAATGGCAATGTGGCGGGTTCGGGGCGGGTCATGGTTTCCCAAACCCGCCCCGATATCTTTCGGGTATCTTATCGGGGCGCCCCGTTGGGTTTCGGGTATCTTATCGGGTTTACAATAATTCATAACGAAATCCTTATTCCGTTTAAGGGTACCCCAATGTCTTAAAAAAATGCATGTTCTACCCTCCCTTTTAAATTAAAAATATGATGAATCACTTTAATAAAATTAATTCGATGTTATACTAAAACTTATTTGATTTAAGTTTAGTGTAATACGTCAAAACATAAAAAAGGACCATTCACACCGGATTGTTAATAACTAAAAAGATTGTCTACAATAAATATTTTATCTTTAAATGCGTACAATTAATATATATATATATATATATATATATATATATATATATATATATATATATATATATATATATATAATCGGGGCAGGTCGGGTCGGAGCGAGCATAACCCACTCCCTGCCCCGAACCCGATAGCGATCCGTTAACCGACCCAAAATAATCGGGTTTCGGGTTTCCCCGTCGGGTTCGGGTTTTTCTGCCATCCCTATGCCACACTTTTCATTTCATTTATTTTTTTGTTTTTTTTAAGTATTTTAATTTAATAAAACTTCCATTTTTTTTAACTATTTTAATTTAATATAACTTCTATTTTAATAAAAAAAACATAATTTTTCATTACTTGAAAATTAAAAAAAAAAACAATACATTGTGTTACTAAAAAAACCACACACATGATATTTAAATAATCCTAGAAACTTAAAAAACATAAATAAAATAACTAAAGCAAACTACGTAAATTTTTTTTGAGAGAGTGGTGATTTAAAAAAAAATTGACAGAGAAAGGAGATTGTGTTGTGAAAAAAAATTAAGTTGGTATGTATATATATAGAAAAAAAATAAAAAAAAAATAAAAAAAATAAAAAAAAATTAAATGCTCAACAGATCAATCATTCGTCAACCAATCAAAACATACGGTTTTGAAGGACCGCACTGTGGCCAAGACTGCACCAGACCGCGGTCTGGGAGCGGTGTTCCCGTCCTATGTGGCACAAAGTGCGGTCTTGGACTGCACCCACACCATGCAATCTTAGATCCAATAATCCAAAAGAATTGAAATTATTGTACCAAACTTTAAATATAAAAGTTAAAAAACCCTCTAAATAAAAATATTAACCCATTCTTATTCTAGATTTTTATAAATGAGCATCTTTTAAATGGCTTTGTGTTAAGCTTTACATGTAAACGGTAGTATATTTAAACAAAATAAAATAGGTGCTATACTTTTATATCTAGAAAATTGTATTCTCTTTAATGAATTTCACTTAGTTTATTATTATTTTTTTTTTGGAAAGTGAACTTCCCTAACAAGGGTTTCGGGGCAAATTTTGCGCACCGATTAATCCCGGTTGCAAATATGAGATTATACATCATTTCCTGGAGTCATGGTAGACGAACTTTCATGGTTGTATGTATTGAATAGTACCAACATTTGAACATGAGTTAATAATTATAAAAGTTGTATTTAAAAAAACAAACAAAATAGAAGCATATAAACCGATAGTTAAGGAAGGAACATATTAGTTGTCATGAATTGGAGAAGAAGATGATGAATCGGTGACAAAGATACGGATCTAGGAAAGGGAAGGGGGGGGGGGGGGGGGGAGTGAATAGATTTGGTTTGAATATTTTTATTTTTATTTTTTTACCTTTTATTAAATTAAAATGAAAAATAAAACTAAAAACGAAATTATTAAAGGTAAAATAGTCAATTATGTCTGTATGGATGGTTAGAGTGAAAAAAGAATTATTCAGAGAAGGTCTGAGTTACTTTTTGAAAATGCAGACGGAACATACATTTCGATAACTGTACAAGGGACGATTCATGTAATTTACTCAATTAAGAAAGATGGGCAAGAAGAAGGCTTATAAATAGGCTTAACATGTTGGATTTCAAAGAAAACAAACCTAGTGTGGCTGGCTTATATCGGATTCAAACAAGGTCTTAGTGTCTGGTGAAACTTTTTTACAGTTAAAGACTAGACCGGTTTTTAAAGGACTCTTTTGAGCCCATCAGGACTAAATTTTGGTTGTTTAGGGACCAATCTGGGACTAAGACCAGTACTCACTAAGACTAATCTGAGATTCCCTTGTGACCAATTCAGTTTCTTAATAAAAAGTACGACCGCGATCATTTTGTATTGGTTTGGGACCAACATGTCCACTGAGACCGGCTCGAGATACTAATTTATGGATCCGCCTTTAGATTGAACTAAGGGGGTGTTCAGATTAGCTTATTAGCTTATTTATGGTGGGAATACAGGGACGGACACAGAAATACATGGTAGGTGTTGCCGTGATGAATAAGTGTTATCGATACATAAAAAATAGGTAGAAAAACTGAAAAATCGAAAAAAAATCCACTGCGGCTAGAAAAGTTAGGGGTTGCCGGTGCCACACTAGGAACCCCATAGAACCGTCCTTGTGGGGATAAGTAATAAGCAGGGGGAAGGGGGGGGGGGCTGCTTATTAAAATTAGTTTATTTAGTTTATTTCGAACACAATAAGCTGATTTTTAAGGATTTTATCCAAACACTTAAACTACATAGGCAATATCTTCAAAATGTGGTTTGAATTTAGTGAGTAGTTTCACCATTACACAAAGTTCCCTATAACAAAGGAAAAGCTTCACATTGTAATAGCTTTGCTTCACGATCAATTTCATTAATATAGGTCGTCATATCGTTAAACCTTGGAAAATATAATGCATATAACAAATAAAAGTAAGGATTCTTCATATTGGTACAGACCAAGTAATTACGGTTTCCCCCCATTCGCTATGAGGAACCTGAAGGAATACCCAAATGGCTTTAGATGCGACCACAATATTATCAGGACAATCCTTAGAGCCACACTCATCAATCACCATAGCTTTTGCACTTTTATCGTGATAATAAATATCAATATAATCAAAGCACCTTTGCCCGTGATTGTACCATTTCGTTGATAATGCAACAATATATTCACTATTTGAGTGGTACTTCCCATCACATGCTGACGGCGCGCCACCATCTCCACCTTTCTCAAAGCTGCTAATAGTCATAGGTGCCTGTGTAATATTGGCTAAACCAAGAAGTAGGCGTTTGCTTACGTGTTGCTCGGGAGTTACATTTTTGCCCCTCGATTTAGCATTGGTGATAAGTAGAGAAAAGAGAATAAGAACGATAATGGTGGGTTGCGTCATTTTATCTTTAGACTATGTTTGTTATGGTATTTGAATGTCAAGAAAGTGAATATATAGTGAAGTGTTTGTTGTCCAGGACATCGTTAGGTTGATATTTCCGTCAAATTGAAGAAAATGCAAGAAAAAGAAGATAAAAGTGGAAATTGGTTTTTTTCCCTTCAATAGTCGATACTTTGAAAAAGAAAAAAAAAAATGCTCGAAACACCATAGTCAAAGGTTGACATTCTCATCAATTTGTGTAAGTACACGGGAAAATCCAAAGGGGAGAACAATGCCAAATTATGACTTTAATTTCTTGTCAAAAGGTTGAAGAAATCGAAGCGATGTCACCGTTTCAACAATTAAAAATATGGTTGATAGCCTCAATGGCAATTCGTTATGCATTTGGCCCGCATTTATTTAGTTTGTACTAAATAAATATAAATATGTGTTCATAATAAAATACCAGTTTAATTAAATATATTATATTTGAAATAAGAATAATCTTCATATTAACTTTAAAATAACAATTTATAGACTAAGTTATTATAATATAATTTAAATATTTTAAGTATACAATAAAGTTAATATTTATATTTTTAAACAATAACGTCTCAATAGTTTTTATATGTGGGTTGCACATCCAACTAAAAATAAGTTTATTGTTGTACATGACCAAGTTTCTTTTTATTTCACTTTGGCCTCCCAAAAGCTATCTTTAAACCAAGGAGAATGCTAGTTTTAAGAATAATCTTAACGGGGCACTAACCCAGATGATAGACTGAAAATTCGAATCGTTACAAACAACCACTATCAAGATGCCAATTATGCTCATGTCCATGGCACCACAATAAAATAAATTAGATTCTCTTTCTAACCTATTTGAAAATGGGTTTGGTTACAATAGTTTAAGAGAAAGAAAAGATATTATAACATTATAAAGGAACACAATTTCATGAGTTTTCTTTATACATCCATTTTCCAGAATTTAACATTATATCATCACTCCTTTTTGAACATTTTTTCGTGAAGACAAAAATGAGCTCCTGATTCCTATTTCTACAGTTATAGCACTTTCTAACCCCAACTTCTCTTTTAGGTTTCAAACTCTTAAACTAATGTTTTCTTGATTTAGGTTTCCAAAGTTGTTTTATCTTAAAAAAAATGATTTGCCTGAAATTTTATTAGCTTTTGGATGACTATTACTTTGATACTGTCCCCAATGGATGTTGATGTATCAATGTTTGTAGACATTGATATTTCTTAACGGGTATCCACTTATGAATCATGATGCTCATATTAATCCATTGAAACCACAATTTCAAGGTTCTTGAGAATGACATCCAATGTACAACACTTCTCACTATTTAAGATTGGAAACTTATGTAACATCCCGACTCTTAAGTATAATATGTAATTAATTTGCATTCATGATGTCAGAGCAACTCAACGAATTGGATGCCCCAACTCGCCAAGTAGAGGAGTTAATGGTCGTGTGATAGTGGGCTTGACTGAAGGTTTGGGTTTTCTTTCTTGGATTGTTTCACTTCTTCGCCCCCTTGTTTCGAAATTAAGCCTTATTCCAGAACACCTTCTAGTCTTTGAAGCATGGTGAATACGGGCATGAGCTTTTCGGAGAGATGCTTCTTGACAATGATTGTGATCATCGACTCACAAGTCTCAATGATGTCCAAAAGCAATGCATTCACGTATGACATACAGTGTAACACTTGTGTTTCTAGCCTAGGCATTTATATTGATTTGATAGTCTAGGTTAACCTTTTTAACTCATTTTGAAGAAATGAAAAGGAATTATGTGAATATTATGTGAATTATGTGTTTTATGCTTAATTATTAGGGTTTATTTAATTAAAAATAAAAATAAGTGTCAAAATTAAAGTTTGAGATAAGCCCGACATCTTTACATAAAGTTGTAGTGCTCGAAATAGGGATTTCAGGGATATAAAGAATACCAAAATCCAAGTTATAACGAAGAAGTTATGACTTGTCGAAGTTTCGCGACAAAACCGGCACGGTGTTGAATGTCGTAAAAAGTGAGTTTTTGATAAACTACTTTTTAGCCTTAGTAATCTAAACGAAAGTCGTAGTATTCGTCAAATCGAGAAGTTCGATAAAAAGAACGCCCAAATATGACTTCGTATGAGGAAGTTATGATTTTTCGAAGTTTTAGCTTAGCAGTAGACAGCTAAAAACTTTAATTTTAGATCGAGCGATTTTTAGCCAACACAACCTAAACGAGAATTGAAGGTCTCGTCATTAGGAGCACAACGGTAAAAAGTCTGACGAAAACGGACGTCGGATGAAGAAGTTATGAATTTTTAACGGATTCCCTGTCCCGGTCTGTTAAAAATAATAATATAAAATTTAAAGTCAAAATTAGCTGACGAAGTCTAAAAGGAAGTTGTAGAGCGTAATTTTAGCTACGCGTGCATATCAAGAACGTCAAAAACGGAGCTCGTATGCGAAAGTTATGGATTTTAGAAGTTTTTGCACAAAAACCGAGAAAATTTGCATATATGGCTTCGGCCACGTCACCCTCGCTGCATGCTTGCCACGTATCCGAGTTGCTGAGTCACGAAGCCACCTGGCAAGGCGTGTCATGTCCTTTCGAGTCCGAGCTGCGGTCCAATCCGCTGACCACACGTAGAAGCCTCGGTGGCAAGCCTCGCATCCGACGCGTGTGTAGTGACTCATCCGTCCGAGCCTCGCAGTGAGCCACGAACCACCTCATAGGATTCGGACTTCGGTCCAATCACCAGCTGCCAGCGAGGCCTTTGCATGCGCAGCCCACGTGCGAGCCACCCCCCTGCGAGTTTCGGATCTGCGACACGTGTCTTCTTCCTGACTGTCCGATTAGAAGCCTTGCCCCTATAAATAGAAGGGTGCGAGACCTCCCGAGTAACTTTGAAAATTTGTCAATTTTAACCCCTATACCCATATTTTCTTCATCTTAACATCCCGCAAAGCCCCGGTATCGATTGAAAAGCCCGGAATACTCCACGAAGTGCCCAAGAAGCCCGGAAAATTTGTCTTTTCGGTTTCGAAGCCCGACTTTTGCAAAGCCCGGTTTGTCAATAAAACTCCCGGTTTTATTAGAAACGATCATTTTAGGAAACGAATTGCTGCCCGATTATCATCAAATCAAGTGAGTGTATAGTCACTTTCATTTTACACATAGATATGAAGTATTTACCTTATAATACGTGCTATGTGTAGATATATTAATTGTTTATTTGAGGTAACTGTTGAGTTGATGTTTTATACAAGTTTCAAACTATATAAGTATTTTTATCTACAAATATGTTGGGTAGAACATGGGTAGATAGTGATGTGTGATAAAATAAAATTGATGAGAGGCCTCGATGTGTTTTGAGATCCAGTCATCTAGCGGAGTTTGGATGACGACCACGGACTTTCTAGACAGTCGAGTGGGAAACATTAGCAGGTCCGCAACCTGTAGGTGTTAATGAACTGAGAGTGTTCATTCACTATACTCCATCCCCCTCATGGTTGCCTTTAGGACATGTATTGCTGAGGAAACCCCTTAGCAGTAGTGTCCATCCTGATGATATTCTTTAGGCTAGGTCCCTTGTGATAAGTGTTTAGGGACGTAAAGTGAGGATAACGGGAACGAGCAATCAGGGTTATTGTTGATTGATGAACTTAGTAAGTTTATTATTATTGTGGGTTGAAAACCCTATATGCTTACCAAGCTCCCAAGCCTGACCCACTCAGCTTTTTATGTTACAGGTAGTGGACCTTGAGCATAGTCGGAGGACGACGAGAGATTTTTGGACTATAGGCCAGTAGTTGTAAATAACTGTTGAAAGGCTTATAATGTCTTGTTTATGCTTTTGATCTGTATCAGAACATGACATCCCGTGGTTTTGATATACATATGGAAAACATATACCTTCTTAATGAAGGGTTTTGATAAACTTTTATCATGTTTTATTTGAGGACCAATTCCGCAACATCTTTTAAAAAGATTTCTCTGATTTTATTTTAAAAAGCATAAATTAAATTGGTCTTTTCTGGCCGAGAAATTAGGGGATGTCACAATTGGTATCAGAGCATTAGTTTAAGCGAACTAAGAAATTGTAGAATTTCTAGACTTGAACTTAGAATGCTAAGTGATGATTGTGAGATGAGTGTCTACCATATTTTAGACACGAGCACTAGTTTATTTTAGGGAAGATGCCTAAATTTCCCTTATATGCTAAATGCTATGTGTTTGCCATGTGTGCCATTATTTGTTCAGATCTATGGTCTGTTGCCGACCAGATCTGGAAACCTTATGTGTGTAGGATTCTAAGCGTATGATTACGAGATTAGAACTAACATGTAAACGTTTTGGAGTGATAAGGGAATTGACATGTCTAACGAGGATAAAGACCTAAATTCGCCTTATTCGTTATATAGATTGTAATGGCCAGAACTCGTAGTGGAGCTGCAAATGCAAATGGAAACAGGGATCAACAGCCTCAACCTCAAGTAGTTGAGCAAGTACCTGTTGTTGGAGCTGCACCTGAGCCAATGACGATGGCTGGGGTACAAGCAATGATACAGATGATGTTAGATCGCCAAATGGAGGAGACAAGGCGATTACTACAACAACATAGGGAAGAGACCACGATGCCTGTTGAACAACCCGTATTGAATGAAGAGTAATCAGTAGGAGGGAACTACAGTGGGACTCTTGGTCAAGCCAACCCAGCGATAGTTAGACAAAACAACCAGGATGGAGGAGTTGATGGATGCGGATGTAAATACAAAGATTTCATGGCATCTAAACCGTCATGTCTATCTGGGAGTCCGACACCGGTGGAAGTCATGAATTGGATCTCCGAAATGGAGATAATGTTTGAAAGTTGCGAGTGCAGCAACAAACAAAAGACCACACTTGCAATCCCTCTTTTAAAGTCTGGTGTGTTGAGCTGGTGGAAGTTACTAGCTGATTCGATGCCCAAGGGTGAGGCTAGTAAGATGTCTTGGGAAGA